TGACCCAAGACATAAAAAGTCTTGTATCAAGTCTTCACTCTTGCAGCTAGACCATCAAACTTGTTTGTCAACTCTACATGAACAGAGTCTATCTTGTTGTGGACCTCAGCAAACTTTTTGTTCATCTACAAGGTAGTATTGACCTGATTGTGGATCATTTGCTGCATCAGACTTTTGAGTTTAAGATCTTGGGAGCTTGAGGAAGCTTGATCTGGAGCTTGAGCATTGAATCCTGGACGGTTGTAGGCGCTCTAGGCTGGAAGTTGTTGCTCCTTTGTTGAAAGCCTTGATTGTTGTTGTTGTATGGCACAAAAGGTCTTGGACCAGCTTGATGTTTCTGTTGAGGTGGGTACACTTGGTCTTGAGGATTGGCAACATTAATTGTTGCTTCTGTAGGATAGGTTTGGGTTAGGTCTGTAGTTCCTATACCCATTGTAGCCTCCTTCATTACCAAGATAGTTCATCTCCTGAACTTGGTAGCCTTTTTGATCTTCAATCTGAACCAAGTCACCAACAAAGTTAACTTCGTTTCTTTCCCTTAGCAACAGATCAATCTTCTCATGTAAAGCCTTGATCTCCTTCTTGTTAGACTCCAGCTCATCCTTAGCACTCCTAGGAGTTCTATCAAACTCCTCATTATAATTCCCATCAGATTGTGCTAGATTATCCACAAGTTCCAATCCTTCATCAACATCTTTAGATAAGAAGTTACCATTAGATGCAGTATCTAAGAGCATTCTGATCTTTGGGAGGGCGCCTCTGTATAGAGTGGCGAGGAGTGAAGCTTGAGAAAACCCATGGTGTGGGAACTGAAGTGTGTAGCCTTGAAACCTTTCCCATGCTTCACCAAAGCTCTCATTGTCCTTTGAGCAAATCCAGAGATTTCATTCCTGATCCTAGCAGTCCTTGAAGTAGAGAAGAACTTTGCTAGAAAGGCTCTTTTGCACTCATCCCAACTAGTGATACTTCCCTGAGGCAAGTTCTTTTCTAACTGGTGAGCTTTATCCCCTAAGGAGAATGGGAAGAGTCTCAGTTTGAAGCCATATTCGCTGACACCATTAATCTTGGTGAGTGAACAGAGTCTATCAAAGGTATCCAAGTGATCCAAAGGGTCTTCTAGAGGTAACCCATGGAACTTGCTGCCTTGGACCATTGAGATCAATCCAGATTTGATCTCAAAGTTATTATTCTGAACTGCTGGAGGAAGGATCCCTGTTCTGTTGTTGTAGGCGTTTGGTGCATCACCTGTGCCTATTGGTCTGATTGCTCTTGGAGCCTGAGCTGCTCCTCTAGAGCCTTGCTCTCCTTGCAAGCCCTGAACTCCCTGCTGGCCCTGTTAGCCTTGAGCACCAGCTGCTCCTTCAGGACCTTGGAACCTCATATCATCCACAACATATGGTTCCTGAACATTCATCCCTAGCCTCTCCAAGTATTCTGTCTTTCCTGTTACCTTCTTGCTCTTTGACCTCTGTCCAACAGATTGATGTTGTCTATGAAGTCTACTAAGTTGCTAGAGCCTCTTGATCTTAGGTTCATACACCTGAAAACAGCAATGAAAGTCAAGGATGATTAATAACCAAATACAAATAAAACTTGATCTTAAAGTTTCCACAAACTCTGACGATCAAAACAATAACCCCAATGGCAATAGCGCCAAATTGATACAAGAGTTTTGACTGTCTTGGTCAATCACCCTATTGTACTAATTAGTTTTTATCAATCCAAAGGGAGTTATGAATAGATGCCAATAGAGTTTTGAGCAGAAAGCTTTAAGTCAAGTGAATCAAGCAAGATTTGTGGTTTACACAACTAGACTTAACAACCTAAGTGATCAAACACCAATCAGAACTCAAAAGAGAACAACTTAGCAATGATCTGAAGCAAAAGAATGCAATAAAACAGAGCACTTAAAAGCAAAATTCGAAATTTAAATAAGAGAAAGCAAGTTCCTATATGTGGTTATTGACTTTAGGGAATTCAAAGGCTAGATAAGGTTGTTTTAAACATCATTGACAATGCAAACAAGCAAGCAATGCTGATTCATAGACATAGAGTTCACAATCAAACAAGTTAAATCCAATCTCTTGATAAATAACACTTTGCTAATCATCCTAACAAAAACTAACTCTCATTAGTGCTAGAACAATCAACAAGCATGAATAACCAACTCTATTCAAGTCAAAATACTCCTCAAACAGTCAATCTCTTGAGATAAGGCCAGTAAATCTTCTATTAAACAAGATCAGCATTTCATCAAACACTTGGTGGGCATAAATTTGAAGCCTAATTCCAGATTCATGTGATCAAGACAAATCTAGCTTAAGAATAGATTAATAGAGAGGAATCAACCTAATTAAGCACTAACAAACCCTAATCAAGACTCTAAATTCCTATAATCTACCACATCTAAGAACCCTAATAGATCTACTCACTAATCATCATGGAAAACACCAAATCACAAGAGTAAATGATGATAAACATGATTAAAAAGGAGATTAGAGAAGAAATTAAAAGGAAAATACAAACTATGATTAAAATGATAGACTTGTTCTTACAAAGACTGGAAAACTCTTAAAAACTAAGCAAGAACAAGACTTGCTACGAAAAACATTAGATCAAGCCTATTTATACTAAATGACAAAAGCCCTAGAATGATGGCAAAGTTCTAAATAAAAGGAACTTCGGACTAGTTCTCATCGGTCACAAGTGACCGATACAGATGATCGATGGAGCATCTGCTTGATTCTCATCGATTACAAATGATCGATACGGATGACTGATGCAGATGTCATGTCTCTTCCCATCGGTCACAAGTGTCTGATACGGATGACCGATGCTCCATTCGCTTGATTCCCATCGGTCACTCCTTGACCGATACGGATGATCGATGGGATCTTCAACTCCTCTGCTGCATTCTATCGATCAACACAGACCGATGAGGCTCGTGCTATGACCGATGGAACACCAGAAATCGTCTTTCTTAGCTCATTTTGCTCCTTCTCAGCTTGGCTAACTCCTTGAACCATTCCCGCACTTCCTCCTTGCTCTCAATTGCTTCTTAAGTACCTAAAACATCCTTAATGCATAGAGAATGCAAACTACAACCTAAATTCAACATAAGTCTAAAAGGAAAGGAAAATATGACTAAAGAGAAAGCAAACATGCAAAAGGAGACCAAAATATGAACTAAATGCAAGCTTATATGATGTAAATGCACGAGATATCAAGGCCTGCCAGTGACTCCCTAGCTAACTGTTCTCAGGCAGTTGGTGGGCTTCCCAAACCAGAAGCGTACTGTACTAGCCCACCTGCTCCCGCCATGCACCATGCGTATGGGATATATCAGGGAGAAAGAAGTATAAAAGGAGAGTTAATGCCAAAGAAGAGAGGGAGGCCGGATACGAGATCAAGACCCATACGAGTCCAAATCTAGAGAGAAGAGGCCCCTAGAGAGAGAGGAGGATGAGAAATGACCGATTTCCGTCTCACTGGAACCCGCAAACCAAGATAAGCTTCCTTTCCCCCTTTGTTATCCACTGTAACACCCATGTAGAGAGAATTTCTACCCCATTCTCATCATGGTCCATCTATTACGCTTCCACCCTCACCAAACGTGAGACAGGTATCGTAATCCATTGATGGGATACCCAAACCATAATTACCTCTACAAACTTACCCTCCCAAGTTCCTGTTCTCTGTAAGGCGTGCATTGACTTGAGCATCGGAGAACCTTCGGGAGAGAAATCTCTTTTCGGTCTTCCAGAGGCCCAATTTACTTGTTCGCATTGGCGGTCCCAGAAAATAATTTTACCATAGTCAAAACTAATTTAAATTTTATTTAATTATATTATTATTACAAAATAAATAAAAAACTAATATTTATGAGTTGTTGAAATTCTAACTCGGGTGAAGATTCAATGCACCAGAAACTTAACCAGTTGAGCTAATATTCTATTATTGTTTTAACTTCAAACTTTAATCAATAATATTTAAGGTGGGTCATGTGACCACCCTTTTCTCTACATGGGTTTGCCTCTGCTCGTTTGCCAGTTTATGCAAGGTCTAGTCAAACTGTCGCCCTGAATTCGTATACCACTCATCCCTAGAGAACAAAATTCGGAGACCTAGCTCTAGTACTTGGACGAATACACATTCTCTGATCCTCTGTTAGCATTCTGTAAGTTTTTCATGAACAATAGGATTACAAGAAAAATAAATATTAAATGTTAATGATACGACAATAGATAATAATGAGCTTAATAAAAAGGAGGATCAGCAAAATTATGTAGACGCAAGTTTTAAAAAGCATAACTTTTCTAGAAAGTAAAGATATCATGTATGGAATATCAAAAGAAAGAAAAAATTGTTTACTTAGAAAGAGTTAATATAAAAAAATTAACATATTCGAAATACTTGAATTGTATACCTAAGTTTTTAAAATAGTGAAGTAAAGAAATAGATATAATATTAAACCATAAAAGAAGTAGGTTTCATATCATCATATTTTAGTATGTCTTATTTAACTTTCTATGATTGAATTTATTCATATTTGATGAAAAAATGACCATTATTATTATTATTTTTGAAATTTATTTTAATATATTTTTAAAAAAATTATATAAATTATCCGATTTTTTTTTAAATATGTTTATGAATTTATAAATATTAAAAATCTGCATATATATAGATTCTAATCTAATCATAAAATAAAATCAGAAGATTCAATGATGTAAACATTTTTTATTAAAAAAATCCCGTGCATGTGCATGACGCGGATCCAAAAGTCAAAATCTAGTTCATTTGTAAACCTGCATGGGCCAACCTGCATGTACTGACTGTATGCTGGGCCTTAGTCTCTATCTACCTAATTCAATTATACAAACTAACTAAATGAACAAAGAATTTAATCTCTCTCTCTCTCTCTCTCTCTCTCTCTCTCATTTCCTTATCGCTTTCTAAAAACCCTCTTCCTCTTCCCTCTGTAGTCATTGCGAAATAAGAAATGACTTCTTCAATAGTAACCTCAAGCTTAAAGCTTTTAGCTATGGCGGAACTTTCATCTACAACCAACTTATGCCTCCCTTCAATCATCAATATCTCTTGCTCCAATCCTCGCCGCTCCAATTTTCCCTTCCTTACACGACCCATTAATCTCCCTCTTTCTCTCAACTCCAGAACTCACCATAACTTATCTCCTGTTGTTACCTTTGCTTCCCAAACTTCGGATTGGGCAGAGGAAGAAGGTGAGGATGGTTCGGCCGCCGTCGAGGAAGCCAAATTGTGGGATGGAGAAGGAGACACGAGTGGGACTGAAGAAGAAAGTGGCGGATTCCAAGAGCCACCGGAAGAGGCTAAATTGTTCGTCGGAAACTTGCCGTACGACGTTGATAGCCAAGCCTTGGCTATGCTCTTTGAGCAAGCCGGCACAGTTGAGATTTCAGAGGTAATTTCGGTTATGTAAATGTCATATCTCCAACATTGAATCCAAATGGCTGAGAATAGCGGCACTACCGGCTTCTGTCGCATTGCTATCATTCTTAGAAAGTTTTGAGATTGTCTGAATTTTAGTGTCTTAAAATTCATAATTTATACTGTCTCAAAGGGTGTTTTGTTATGTAAAACTAATGGCTTTATGTGGCATTGCTAATTCTTGAAAAAGTTTCGAATTTCGGTTTACATAAATTTCAAATCTCGAGAGTGAACCCAAATGGCAGAGAATAGTGGAACTAATGGCTTATGTGGCATTGCTAATTCTAAAGAAAGTTTTCGAATTTCGGTTTATGTGAATTTTCATTTATCGACAGTGACTTCAAATGGTTGAGATAGGACGTTTTGTTATGCTTTGAGATTTTCCGAGTTTAGTGGCTTCTTTGGCATTGCTAACTTCTTCAAAAGTTTTCAAGAATGGTCTTAAATTCATAGTTTCTTTTGTTTATGCTTTTGGTTCAGAGGAATGATTTTGTTCCACGGTGTGTGCTTTGTTGGATTCTGATTTTGCAGGTTATCTACAATAGGGACACTGACCAAAGCCGTGGATTCGGTTTTGTAACAATGAGTACCGTTGAAGAAGCAGAGAAAGCCGTTGAGAAGTTTAACCGTTATGTAAGCGGTGTAATCTTGTTTCTTGTTTCTTGTATATTGATCAAGATGTTTAAAAGTTGACTGGTTTGTTTAATTACTACTTTCAGGAAGTGAATGGGAGGCTATTGACAGTAAACAAAGCAGCTCCTAGAGGATCGAGGCCAGAACGACAACCTCGTCTATATGAAGCTGCGTTTAGGATCTACGTTGGGAATCTACCATGGGATGTGGATAGTGGTCGTCTAGAACAAGTGTTCAGCGAGCACGGGAAAGTGGTCGAAGCTCGAGTGGTTCACGACAGAGAGACAGGTCGTTCGCGAGGATTCGGATTTGTTACAATGTCTAACGAGACCGAAGTTAACGACGCCATTGCTGCTCTTGACGGACAGGTAAAGAGAAACCTTTTTCTGCCTCTTTTTCTTGTGATAGATTACAGAATTTGTGAACTCTCTTTCTCGTTGTGTCTGCAGAATTTGGAAGGCAGAGCAATTAGAGTGAACGTAGCTGAGGAACGTCCAAGGCGTGGTTTTTGACAACTTTATTCCTAATTTTGTTATTTATGATGATGTAAAAACCAAACTTGTGTGAAAGTAAAACATTTTTCTTTCTTTATTATCCATCATTACATGTTACAAAACTTAAGCAAGCTTATGTACACAAAGACGTGGGAAGTAGAGTTTTTGTTCAAAATCCACATATCTGTTCGTCACGGCTAGTGAGAGGCACATACCTTACTGAAGTTTCAGTATGTACCTTAATGGAACCATCCTCGCTTTTATCAATCACTCTGAGCTCTTGAAAATAAGTACCTACCGGAATCACCATTCGCCCGCTGGGTTTTAACTGGTCCAAAAGCGCCTGAGGAACCTCTGACGCCGCTGCTCCTACGTGTATCGCATCATACGGTGCAAACTCTCTCCAACCTTTTCTTCCATCTGTCATAAGAGAAAGTCCCCCATCTTCAGTATTTACCCACAAACTATAGCTAAACAAAAGTATGTATAGACTTAAATATACAATGTTTTGAAGAGTGTACATACCACCAACATGTAAAGACAGAGATCCTTTCTTAAGCAACGAACCAGCCACACTCTTTTCGATATTCTTGATAGACATATCAACAAGTTCAGGGATATGATCCACGCCAACAACGCGGCCTTCGGCTCCAACCATGAGAGCAAAACAGCCGGTTAAGTACCCGGTTCCTACAAACATCATCGATAAAAACATGAATCCCATTGATATCCCAAGTTCCTCCCCAAACTCAAAAGCTGTTTCAAGAACCTGAGCCAACGTCCAAGGCACGCATCCCGGGCTGGAGCTTATCTTCCAAGAGCTGCAAGCACGTCGCGTGCATATGCGGAGCAGAGATGGTGGCGTTGTAACCTATAGGTAAGGGAGCATCATCATAAGCCAAAGATCCAGCTGGTACAAAGAGACCTCTATCTAATGCCTCCATAACTTCAGCTACTCTCTTTGATGATACCACACCGAATCGCTTCAGATTTTCCACCATCGCTTTATTCCCGGACGATCCAGCTCCACTCTTGAATTGCTAACATTCACATAAGTAAGCGAATTCTACAGTTTACAATCATCAACAAACATGAAACAACAAGATAGATGAATTGCAGGGAATTAAAGTAAGAATCGTCTAGCACAGAGAACTCGAATTTATATCGAGTGTTTGCTTCGATTTTGCCAGCAAGTTTGATACCTCTAGGAGAATTGAATCAAAGTTCAGAGTCTCTTGACAAATCGAATCGGTGGAATCATCAGAAAGACATATCTCAGAAGATATAAGCAAACACAGAATTAATGTGGAAAAACTGAAGGAGAGAGTCATGGCGAGAGAGAGAGAAAGAAGAGAAATTTAGTAGACCTCCATGCGGAAGAAAGGAGAACGAAAGGCGGTGAAGAGACTGAGATTGAGAAACGGAGCAGAACCGTGGCGGTGGAGAGAGGCGTAAGTTAAGGAGACGAATCTACGTGGCGCACGATAGTGATGAGCGTATGCTGCTGTTAATGTTGGGCATAAAACCTGCTGAGCTCGCATTTTTAGTTTTTAAAAAATGTTTCCAGATTCTAGTTTCTTCTTTCCTGATCCGTTCGTTCTGTTCATTGTCTAGAATTGGATTTGTTGGTTGCCAGGTGTCTCATGAGTGATCTCTTTTATTATTTGGAGCACAAATGGCCTTTTATACCCAATTCGCTGACCGACATTTGGGATGCGAATGGTAATTGCGACATTTGATAGAATGCGAACTTTGCAAAAAAAAATTATAATTTTTATTAAATTTAATATTATAATTGATAGTAGAAGAATTACAGAATAATTGTAAAAAAAATAAGAAACATAAATATGTGAATAAATATATAAAAATAAGATTGTTTTAATGTATTAAATAACATAAATATATATATAGAAATTTAAAATTAAAATAACAAAAGTCAAATCGAAAAATGAATGAATAAATAAAATATATAAAATATTGTTATTTTTAGTTTATTTTTATTATTGTCAACTTTAGGATAATACGTAATTATTAAGTCTCATTGAAGCGCTGATTTTTTTTAGATCTATTAGTAGTTTTCTAGTGGATTATTTTTGGACAGGTGATTGGGGCTGTACCATCTTACCTACACTATCATATACAGCGTAGATGGGGCTGATCAGAGCAAATGATATATAAAAAAAGGGGATTGGCCGAATCCAGATTCGAAAGTCCAAAACCTCTGAAGGGAGAAGACACCATAAACAAAGAGGAAGAGGGAAGACCTCTTACCTCCACCTCGCTAGAGCTCGCTCGGAACCCTACCAGACAGCAAGATTGGAGGGTGAATGCTCGTCGTCCCCCAGAAAAAACGCCTATCGAGATAAGCCTTTCTCCCTCTCCCTTCAATTGCATATCATAACACCCATGTAGAGAGAATTCCAACTCCGCTCTCGTCATGGTCCATCTACCCTAATTTCACTCTCACCAAACATCAGATGGATATCACGATCCACAGATGGAATATCCGAACCACCAACACCTTACCAAACCTATCCCCAAAGTTTATGTTTCTAGTAGGACGTTCATTGACTTGGGCGTCAGAGAACCTTCGGGAAGAAAAATCCCTTCCCCTCCCCCCGGATGCCCGATTTACCCGCGTGCCTTTATGTGCAAGGAACCCATCAGACTTTCGTCGTGGAGCTGCATACCGCTCATCTCTCCCAGAGAACTCGGAGATGCAGCACCACAACCTCAGACTATCACACACCCTATAAGCATTCTGTAATTTGCTGCGCTAGAAGAAGGGAGAAGACCAGTATGTAGTCCCATAAAGAAAATAGTCATAGCGCTGCCAGACAACCAGCCATTGGTGCAGCCCAGAGTCCACGACGGTCGATATAAAGATGATCAATCGGAAGCACCGTGTGATAACAGTTGGAAGACAAAGCAGAATGGGGAGGAGACCCCTGCCACCGAAGTCAGGCCAGGCTACCAACCAGCGCTATGGCCTTCAAAGGTGGCCCGCCCTGAAAGCGTTCACCTCACGGACAATGGGCGAGATGGGGCAGGTCCAGGTACCACCCCAGACATTTCCCAATCAAACGCGCTCGCACCTCGGCACATGCCTTACAGTCGAAGCTACTGCCCTCCGCTGCAACACACAAAAGCAGGTGGGGGCCGAAGAGACGATTGTTCCTCGCGCAAAATCAAGTGCCGGAGGCAAATAGGTTTCGGGGGAGCGAGTCAGACACCCATCCTCTTCCTAGAAATCAGAACGGGCCAAGAAGTGTGCGTAGATGTCCGATTATTTTTATGAGACAACCAGGGCATTTCTGGTGTTTGCCCCAGGTCGAAAAGTTCGTTCGTTCAAAGTAGAAGTGAAGTCTGGTTGGAGTCACCAAAGACGTGTGTAACAGAGTCCGAGGGAAGAAATGAAGAAAGCTTTAAAGAAAATTAAATTTTATTCATATAAACCCCAGAGGGACCAAGACTATAACATGATTTCTACAACAACACTCGAAGAACTGTAGCAGCAAGCAGTAGATGCGCAAAGCGAAGAAAGAGGGCCAAGCGCCTGAGAAGCTATCAGGGGCCAAACCCCCAGTTGGAGAAAAATCAGAGAAGAGGAGCGCCAATAGCGCAGACACGGCAAGAATGCCGCCAGTGCAGCCCTAGCTATGGTCAGGGACAAGATAAAGAGGTTGCGAGAGGTATGCATGTGCATTGCCATGTCATGTACGACCAAAACATGAATGCGGCCAGCACCCCTAATCCTTCCCATCTTCATCTGATGAGTCAGGCTCATATACGCGGTGCCTCCGTAAGCTCAAGAGACCGAATATGCGCTCGGAGTTCAGACAGCTCCGTTTTACTCGCTCGGAGATTAGACAGCTCCGTTTTACTCGCTCGGAGATCCGCCGCCAGAATCACGGCCCCTGCTAAGCTATCTGAGAGATCTGGGTCTTCTCCCTGCTGTTCACCATCACCACTCGATGTTGTTCTCAGGGATTTGGCACTGTGAGCTATCAATGCCATCACTGCCCGGTTCGGCCGCCTGGAGACCGAGACCAGACGCTCTCTAAGAGTCCAGATCTCTCCCGTGAGAGCATCAACACGGTAACACTCAGCGTGAAAGCGCTCTTCAAGAGAAAGAAATATGGAACCCGACCAAGGAGCCGGAAGAACTCTCCCAAGGCCGGAAGAACCATCGCCAGTAGGGTCCTGAGAACCAATCTTAAGACAAAACTGTCACACCTCTTCTAGGGCCTCTTCATCCCGCTCTTGTGCTCATGTGAGAGAGTCTCAAAGGTATACCCTGACCCAATCGCCTTCGCAAGACCATCAATCGTCAGGTCCGTGGAGGGTGTACGGTCGTCACTCCGAAACATTGCAGCTCCCTCTAAACGAGCGCCCAACCCCAAGTCTACCAACAAGAGGCTAGAGAAGGTCGTATATCCCTTGAGGAGGCGCAGTCGTAGAGCATGATGGGAAGAAGGCCGTCGAGGATTGCTCACCTTGGGAGTGACTCACATTTCATTCGGCGGGAATATTTCCGATTGGCCCCACCCCTAGGAGTCAAATGAAACGCCTTTAAGTCTTGGCCAGTCGGACCTCGGCATCAGAAGAAACAGGATCCTCGTCGATGGCGACAAAACGCGAAGGATGAAAACAGAACCGATCAGAAAGAGAAAGGAAAGATGGAGTGTGGTCAAGAAACGCTTCGATAGAAGAAATGGAGAAAGTCGCCCCTCCCTCCACCTATTTATAAAGTCGGTAGAAGGCAAGGAGGCAGCTACAAACTTTGGGCCAACAGAGAAGGACAACAAAAACCAAGGAAAAAAGATGCAATTAAATTCATCTGCATCAAAGCGATGTTCCCATTAATGGTAAGGTTAATGTGATGATTCTCAACCTATGGAAGAGAAGAAACGCCAGTTCACTAGAAGCAAGATAAATGGTGCGACGTTACTTCCCATGCAGTGGGAGAATAAGTGATACAAGCCTCAAATGCTTAAGGAATGTGTCTTAGAACAGATTGCTTTAAGCTTGATAGAATGGAAGAGAAGACTAGTGGTTTTGTAGCCTTGTTGATGCTTGATGACCTCAAACACCAAGGGTTAGACTCTTCTCAGATCAAGGGCTAATCCTCACAAGAGCTTAAGAGATTCTACACGAAATTCTATAAGGTTGAATCCTCAAAACACTTAAAGAAATCGCAAGAACAGTTTGTAATGCAAAGAGACACTTTCTTTAAAAACAAAATAACTTCTTTTTTTATTATAACTTGGGTGATCGAAAATACATAAAGTAAGGAGCTTATATAATGCTCAATGATAATGAAATAAAATGGTAACTAAGTAAAAGAAAAGCATAAAATGTGGGATTTCTTCTTGACTTCATTCTCCTAGCCGTTGGGCTTTAAAGGTGATAGTGGTTGAATGGGGCGGTCAAAGGGGGAAGTCTTGGGGTCTTGAGGACGAAATGAATATGTGTGATCATGTAGCTTGACTGATGGATCAAGAGTAATGATATGATGTGGTCTTTGGTCGTCATTTCCATCTTTACTCCTTGAATCAACAAAAATGGTTCCATCTTTGGTAAGTGGCTCTTCTTTGATATCTTCTTGGTTTTAGCTCGGTTTGGGGCGGTTCGGAGATTGATTTGCCGGTCTTGAACATCTTGAAATATGCCTTGGTGGTCGGATATGATGGTGGGGTGAATAAAATGTTTCCTTAACTAGCTCCAATGTTGCTTCTTTTGGTGGTTTAGAGAGATTTGGCGGTTCTGGCTTGATTTGAATGAGATGATTCCGGTTTGCAGCTTCTTTATCTTCATTATTATCTTCTAAATGCTCCAAAATATAAGGTAAGGTCGTTTTTTTCTTCATATAACTTGCCATATGTGTATGTAGGTCCAAATAGATGTCTTGGCGGTTTAGATGGAATAACTTCAGAATTAACTCGGACCGGTTGGGGTTTGGCTCGATCATTTGACTCCTTGTGATGTCTAGAACGATGGCGTATGGTGGTTTGATCCTGAACAGCTTCAAACTCAGCTACAAGCTCTCCTTTCTCCACGGGTTCAAGCTGTTCTGCACCATCCTTAGCTTCAAGGCTCCACTTCTTGGTTGTGTTAAGTGAATTGCAATCCATTCTTACATCATCCTCTCCCTCTTGTAGAGGTTTTGTCCTCAAAACTGTAGAACCTGCATCAAACAATCCTAAGTTAGTCTTTGGCAAATGTTTTAAGTTTAAGAACTTACCTTGGGAATTGGCTTGTAGATGCTCCATTAGATGAATGAATGGAATGTCTTTGGCTTCCTTAAGCTCCAGTGTTGATTTAAAATTAACTAAGGGTGATTTCTCCTTATCAAACATCAAGGTTTCACCATTATTGCCCACGCCACTCTCCTTAGCTTTCTCATCTTTGAACTTTTTCTCTTTAATTCCTGCAAAACAATTCTTTGACAAAGACAAGTGCATCATGTCTGTGGGATTTAAATCTGAAAACTCTTGAATAGCAAAATAACTACTCTTTCCTTTTGCTCTGTTTTGTAAAA